ATTATCAATTGTATGATGTGCTGCATTCAATGTCAGTAACAATGAGCCTGGTTCTGCTGAAGGTTTCTTCCTGTTAAAAGGGAGTTTTTCCTCTCCACTGTCGCTACAAGCATGCTTAGTGTGAGGGATTGCTGAAGAGTCAATGAGTCGATCCAATCAATTGGTTTTCCTTAGATAGAAAACTTTGAATCAATCTGACTGGATGATCTGGTGAACTGGAAAGTGCCTTGAGAGGACATGTGTTGTGAATTGATGCTATAGAAATAAACTGAATTGGATTGAATTAAAATCTTTTATTTTAATTTGCAAACAATGTTAAACAACCAGACTGGTTTGTTTGAAAAAAAAAAGGTTTGAGTGAAAACATTGTGATAAACCGTGACGTTCAGCTCAGCATCAGCCCCACATCTTGTGTCGGACTTCCCGCGTTCACACATGTATACTCGTGGTGCGTTCAAAGACAGCTCGGAAAAAGAACTCACTCCACACTAATAAGGGGTTTAACTGCTGTAACGGGTAAACAGCAGCCATGTTGTGACACATCTTATTTGAAAAGCAGGGCTTGCTTAAAAAACAATAGGTGGCGTGATGTTGTTGTCTTACTGGCTACCCGCCAACATGGCTGTTAGATTGACAGTTTCACCTAAAGCCCACATTCAGCGTGTGGGCGGGTGCCAGTTAAACGGCTCGTTCATAACTGTGTAAAATGTTGAGACCATCAAACGAATGGTGAACAAATTGCTGTCTCAGGTCGGCCGTTCACATGATGCTCACTGACAGCACAGATGGATGGGTCCTTTCTCCCGGGGGCATCCCTCCCCTGGACGCGGCTGACCCCAGACCAGCCCTGTCAGGCATGTCCGGCTGGCATTAGCACGTCTTTGTGCTCTGAGCTCTTTGTTTAGGTTGAGAATATTCTTACTCAGGAAATCCTTTATGTTGGACTGAGCCAAGCCGCTCTGCAGAAGACCTCTGTGTTTCTATTTAACCTATTTTAACAAGACTCCGCCAACTCAAAGTCTGGATTATTTTCTGCATGGTGTAATCCTAATCCACATAGGAGATGAAAGGAGGTTGTAGGTTTTTAATTTGGACTTAAAGCATCATTAGAAGGCAGCTGAGTCACCTCAGTTCCCCTTTCACTTCTGTCTAATTCCGCCATCTTATTGATCATCAGCAGATCTGCTGATTTCATTTTCCAAACCAGAGTGCAGAGCGTGACTTTATGTAACGTATTGATGGGCATTCCAGCCTGCAACTCAGAGACTAATCGATGAATGAGCTTCCAGCTCATGCTAACCTCTGCTGATCTAATGGAACATGTGGATGATGCTGCTCAGCACCCAAACCGTTTCCATCGTCCTGATGCTCAACAGAAACAGTTACATGTAGCAGCAGTCATGTTAGCCCCTCATAGCGTCCTGTTTTTATCTCTCTTTGAAGAGACCGTTTGTATAGTCCTTCTGCAAGGGGCAGGTTTAGGAAATTTGGGGCTCTAGGCAAAGCCAGGCAGGGGGCCCTCTGAATTGAGAAGATAACACATAAAACAGACCCATTCTACAGATAGAGAAATGCTAATAGAATAGACATCCATTATCTGTTCTAGGTTGTGTCCCTCTCTTCTTGTCCCTTTTCTTCTTGTTTTCCTCTCTATGTTTTGTACTCAGCTGACTTTTCATGCTGTCTCTAAAGGAATGAAAGATTTTTTCCAAGCACTAAGCTCACTTAGCTGATTGCTCCTTCCTGTGTTTCCAAAAAGGCCAAAGTAAATAACCCAGTCCTTCTTTTCACTGTAGACAAGCCATGATCTGCTTCTCTGTTCTCCATTTTTCATTTGGATGAAATAATAGCTGCATGAATCATGACAGCAGACAAGATAGAGGAGAGCAGGAGGCGGGGTTACCAATCTACTGGCTCTGGAGAGCAGAGTTCTCTGCTTTTAGATGTTGGCGCCAAAGTCTCCAGTAGCAGAAAAAAGTCACCAGCTTTGGCGCTAGGCGCTTTTTAGAAATCAAAGTGTTAGAGGGGTTAGAGAAGTTGCTAAATATAGCGACTAAAGCGCTAAGTTGGCAACACTGCTCTTTGCATTGTTTGTTTTCAAATGGTTTGCTGCTGTCTGTTTGGACCTTTCTGAACATGTGCAGCAAATGGACTGATCCAATATGGTGGACACTGAAAGGGGGGGCTTAATATTATAAGCGTTCTGATGGCATTTTAGTGGAAGGCTTCTTATCAAAAACATCATTAATGTGCACAAATAAGGAATAGTTGTATTAACCATACATGTAAACAGAGTTTTATTGGGCCCCCAGGATCTTGGGGGCCTAGGCTACTGCCTAGTATTGCCTAATGGTAAATCCCCCCACCTTCTGCGCTCTGGCTCTATTTTAGACAGGCTGAAACAGGCTAGAATGACTGCGGAGGCCACTAGTTTATTTCTAGCTTCTGTATGATCGTAGTAAGGTTGGACTGACTCATCTCAAATCCCAGCATCTCCCAATGAAAGAGCAGCTTCTGCCCTGAAAGGCTAAGATTCACCTCAGCTCACACGGTGAGTTTATCCAAGACATCAGGAGCTTCGGCACGGACAGCTGATATGAACCGAGAGACACGCTGGAGAAATATAGAAGAAATTTATTTAGATATTAAAAGTTTGTAATCATTTCTAATACTGATTTTATGTCCTTTTATTTTACTTTAAATTCTACTTCTGCAGCTGATTTTTCTTGACATGCAGTAATAAGCATGTCAAAAAAAAAATCTGCTGCAGAAGTTCAACTGCAAATATAAAACTATAGAAACCAAAACTATAGATACCATATCCTCAGGTAGAAATTCCACTACAAAAAAAGTTACAGCAAAAAAATGTACCTGCAGTTATTCAGCTGCAGACATTAAAATGAAACATGAAATTGCAGAAAATTAATCCTCAATCATGAAACAACTACAGAAATATTCCCGCAAATGTTTTGGCCTCTTATGTTCCTTCAAGCCAAAGCATCAACCATCCAGTGACTTTCCCTCATTTGATCACATGACAAAGATGTGTTTCTTAGCAGTGAGCTTTCCAAAACTAGTAACAAATCAATCCACTGGACTTTGTTTCCAAGTTTGAAAACGTTTCTCTTCCATCCAGGAAGTTTTTTTTATTCAAAATGTCAGAAATAGTGTTGAGTTCCAGGTTTTATAGAGTAACCCATCAAAACCTCATTTTTGTTTAGAAAACATGTAAATTGAAACGGACGAACGGGTCCACCCCTTTGGAATGGGGGTAGATTGGGATCTTAGTTAGCCTGCAATGCTCCATACCTGCCTATATCTCTGAAAGGGGGCTCGTTAAACGGAATTGTTGGCCTGGCTGAATAGAGGAGGTCCTCCACTCTCCTGCACAGGGGCTGGGGCTGCAATGATAGCGGAATGGAATCTACTTTATTGTTGCATTGTAGATTTTTGAAAGGAGAAACCTGAGTCCAACCCCTCTGTTTAAGGTTGGTTTTTCTTTCCTAACATAGATGGCTTCCTTCACGCCCCTGTCAAAAGAAAATAGGCGGTTTGAGAGGGGCGTGAAGGAAGGCATCTACCTTTTAAACCACCTTTCTTCTTTCTAAACCAAAACAAGGCTTTGTTTTGGTCCACTCTATAAAAACTCGTTATTCCTGATAATTTTGATTCGAAAAAACTTCCTGGATGGGAAGTGAAACGTCTTCAAACTTGGAAACAAAGTCCAGTGGATTTTTTTTTTAATTTTTTGGAATGACTGTAACCTGGATGACTGAAAATCTATACCAGCATGTAGCAGTTAGCTTTTAGCACAATAGTTGGATCCTGCTTTCATCAAAGGATCCATCCTTTGTAACCATGGAAACTCAGCATTTTATTGCTTACTATAGGCCGTTTTCACATGATCTGGGACCCATCAACGGTTTATGTTACACAGACTGGAGGGATGTATAACCCCGACTGACAGAAGGTCAACATTTTCAAACTCTCCATTTACCAGGATAGAAATTAAGTGTTATAAATTCTACATGATGAGATTATATTTCTTCCACAGTGAAACTTTAACTCAGGAACATAACATCCAGATAACTGAAATCCTAACTACGGTCTCATTATTATACAGTCTTAAAGGCATGAAAAAGATTTTGGGTTTCCTTGATTGTGATGCAGAACAGAGTTCCTGACTGTTTCATAGTTTCATCACTCAGGTGACTCAAAGGTTTCCCATTCAGCCAGTCTCATAAGACTGGATTCCCAGACTGGGAACCAACTGGGAACCGAGGAGCTGGGATGCAGGCAGAGTTTAGCAATATGATTTAGTCTTCTGTTAATTAGTTAAACATGTTTGACCAGAAGGAGCTGCCTGAACCTGCAGCACCACAGCCTTCATGTTCCTCCGCAGTATGGAGAGAATTTTGGTACAAATTTGTTGCAAAGAACCTTTAGTTTTAAATGGAAAAAAAAATCCAGAAATAAAATTTTGAAAAAAATTCTTCAATCAGGGTTTGAGAGTAACTTTGCTGTCTTCTCTGTTTCTATTAAATTTTTTATGGTAATTATTTTTTTTCAGATTTTATTTTTTATTTTATTTATTTTCCTACAGATTTTATATTTTCATTTTGTTTTTTTTATTATTTTATTTTTACCTTTTAGTATGAGTTTGACCAATTGCATCCTTTTTTTATTTCTTTGCACAGATCACATTCTCTTGACTTTAAGCCCGATCCAGACATGGTGTTGCTAACGTCCAGCAAGCCAAAAGAAATGCATCTTTGCTCCACTCCCTAGACGAAAGCCCGCCCAAGGAAGAATAGGATAGGATCCAACAAATTAGAAAAAATAAACAATTTGGAAAACAGAAATAAAAAAAAAGACTTTTTAAAATAAATTCAGCGAAAACAGCAAAGGTTTTCCTTTTAATCCAAGCCTTATTTTAATGAAGACATTTTTACAAAGTTTCATAATCAGATCTGGTTTTATTTTCAAATTCGCTTTGCTTCCAACAGTAATGAAAAAAAATTGACTCCATATATTTGCGTCTGTTCTGAATCTCTCTGCAGCTTCTTCAACGTTAGCAAACAGTTTGAAGTTTCTTTATCTCTTTCTAATCTTCCAGCCGCTGACTCCGTTTCTCTTCTCCTCCTCCTTCTGCTCTCCCTCCTGCAGGAGTCACTCTCTTCGTGGCACTTTATGACTATGAGGCACGGACGGAGGACGACCTCAGCTTCAGGAAAGGAGAGAGGTTCCAGATCCTCAACAGCACGTGAGTCCCTGCCTGCTGCTGCTAACCCCGCCGTCTGCATGCAGCCTTATCTCTGCGCTGTAGGGGTCAGTGGAAGCTGCAGGTGCGCTCCTCCACTGAGGTCAAAGGGGCGGCTCCAAATAATTTAAGGCGCCTGCTGTTTGTTAACCGGTTATTATATTTGGAGCAGATCTTCACATATGGGTTAAATTAAGGTCTGTGCATAAAAAAATTAAATTCTTTCTGAAAGCAGAACTTTCACCTCCTCTGAATTCACTGGGGATTTTCACGAGGCTAAAATGACAGGCTGAGCTTCCTTCATGGCAGCGCGGCGCAAAACAGATTATTTTGGGTTTATGGAGGGTGGAGCAGGCTTCAGACTTCCATCTGGATGTGGAGCAGGAAGTGCCGAGCTCCACCCACAGGGACGCCGGCTGGTCTTCCTTCCAGTCAGCATGTTTCCTGTGTCTTTATGGGGCTGTAGCCGTCCTGCTCCTCGGCTGCCGCTCAGCTTCACCTTCTGCAGCGGCGCAGTGACCTTCTGATGCCGCACGCTCCAACAAATGCTGCAAACGCTGCAGTAAAAATCTCCTCACCGCTCAGTGTCTCACATTCACAGCAGTCAGCCAAAGTTAAATACGGATCTCTCACCTAAAGCGCATCAGGAAAGTATTCACACCCCTTCATCTAGGCCAGGTTCTGTCACAGTACGACGGCGGGTTGTATTGGGGGCTGTTAGGAAGATGCTGTTTGTCCAATCGGACTGAGCCATGTTGGAAATGCTTTCACAGGATGTTGAATAATTTACCTTCAGTTTAATTTATGACCTTTAAAGCAAAGTGTATCCTATTTGATACATGAGTTTCTGAGACTTCTGCATCATCAGTGGGATGTTTTTTGTTCATTCAGACCATTGCAGCGGCCAGAAAACATATGAAATATTATACAGAAATGCTTTATGTATCAAATTTGATGCAATTAAATGATCTAATTTTTTTTATACCAAATTTTTCAGAAGGTTCAATGAAATTCTAATTTTGAAAAATTAAAATGTTCTGTCAATTATTTCTTCGAAGGGTTAAATAAAAGGAAAACGTTTAGAAAGTTAAAAGATTCAAAACACTAAGAAGGGGAACGAGCTGTGGAGCAGTGAGTAAAGGAAAGTTGAGTGGAGGAAGACCTCTACAGCGAGCTGAGGTTGTTATCACCCTGATAGCAGCTATGGAGCTGGAACACATATTTCTAGCATCTGATGACAGGTTCAGTTTCCCTCTGACCGCTGCATCACCTCAGGCGTTAGGTCACCACACCCTCCTGTATCCTGCTGCAGGCGCTGATTCCACATTCCTGCACACCCTCAGTCCCCGCTCTGCTCCTCTTCCTCAGCAGCAGTCACACAGAGCTGCGCCTTCGCTCCATCTCTCCTCCAAGCCGCTCTCCGCTCTGCTTCCCGCTGGCCTGCTTGCACCGCCACCTGCTGGACGGGGCTGGGAAGAGCAGAAGAAGAAGTGATGATGGCTGACAGGAAGGGGCCTCCTCCTGTCACAGATGTCTGTTGTTCTGTCTGTAAAAACAGAGCCTCCTCAGAAAGCATCTCCTGGTCCTCAGCGGTTCTAGTCCACTCAGAGCTATGAATAAACACAGTGGTTCTGTGGACGGCTCGTCTCAGTCCACAGTTCTGAGTTTAATTATACGCTCCACTGCAGGGAGGGAGGCTCTGAACCCATCTGGAGGCAGACCAGGCTTTTTGTTTACTCCTCCTGTTGTTCTGCTCTATATGTGGCTGAGCAGGGGAGGAGACAGAGGAGACAATAGGAGACAGTAGGAGACAGTAGAGGACAGAGGAGACAGTATGAAACAATAGGGGACAGTAGAGGACAGAGGAGACAGTATGAAACAATAGGGGACAGTAGAGGACAGAGGAGACAAAAGGAGACAGTATGAAACAACAGGAGACAATAGGGGACAGTAGAGGACAGAGGAGACAAAAGGAGACAGTATGAAACAACAGGAGACAATAGGGGACCAGTAGAGGACAGAGGAGACAA